CTATAAGATTATGGATAACAAAAAAAGAGATGAAAAATATATGGAAAGGAAAGAGTAAAGAAGAGATGGATTATAAGAAAGGAAGGTGGAATTTGAAAATAAAAGCAATGGAAGAGGAAGGAGGAGAAGAACAAGGAGAACATTTGAAAAAGTTAAGACATGAAGAGAAGGAAGGAATAGAATGAAAATAAAATGATGAATAACAAGAAAGAAAGAAAGAAAGATAAACAAAAAAGCTGAAGATTCATGGGAGAATAATGAGTGTCTACTTAGACTGTTAACATTAATAATAAAGTAATTAAGAAGACGAAGAGAGAGTTTAGAAAGAGAGGAAAAGAAGACAAATGACTACGAAAGAGAGAAGAAGAAGATTAAGGACCAAGAAAGAGAGTGAAAGAAGACAAAATACCAAGAAAGAGAGGGGAAGACTAAATAACAAGAAAGAGAGTGAAAGAAGACAAATGACTGAGAAAGAGAGTGAAAGAAGACAAAAGACTAAGAAAGAGAGTGGAAGAAGACAAAAGACCGAGAAAGAGAGTGAAAGAAGAGAAAAGACCAAGAAAGAGAGGGGAAGAATAAATATCAAGAAAGAGAGTGAAAGAAGACAAAAGACCAAGAAAGAGATTGAAAGAAGACAAAAGACCGAGAAAGAGTGTGAAAGAAGACAAAAGACCGAGAAAGAGAGTGAAAGAAGAAAAAAAAGAAGAGAGTGAAAGAAGACAAAAGACGAAGAAATAGAGGGGAAGACTAAATACCAAGTAAGATAGTGTAAAAAAGACTAAAGACCAAGAAAGAGAGTGTAAGAAGACTAGAGACCAATAAAGAGAGTGGAAAAGAAAGATGGAAATAAAAGAGAAATCATTTCAGGAATTGTAGGATGTAGTCCACAGAATTTCTAGGAATCCAAGAAAGAAAAATTTTTAAATAAAATGTTGATATAGAGATCTGAAATTTCTTATAGAAAAAAATATATATATATATATATATATATATATATATATATATATATATATATATATATATATATATATGAGGTAAGAAACCATTTATAAGCAATTTTCAGAAGAGCTATGAGACATACAGTCTGATGCAGGGACTGTAATCACAGCAAGCATGGCATAAACCTGTTGTTTTCTTATACATACCCCTAATTCTTAGATATATAAAAAAATCCAACAGAAAATAGAATATCAAAATGTAATTTTTTTGTCAGTTCTTCGGATAAAGAAAAGAAAAATACATATTTTTGCATCGTTTTTTTTTGTGAATTTTTTAGATTGTTGCAGCCAGTGTTTATAGACTATCCAAAACCACTGTATTTTTTGAAAAGCATTTCACCACTAGCATGGCGACAATGCCACTAAAACACAAGGGATTACTAAGAGTAAAAGAAAATGAGATGTTAGTGAGAAGAATTAAAAAACAGGATTCAGGAATATGATCAATGTTGTATTTAAATTTTTGAAGATTGTAGATGGCATGGAAGATAGAAACCTGAAGAGATTTCTACAGGACTTTGAGAAAAGAAAAAGAAAAGAGATGCCAGGTCAGGATTGATAACATTACTGACCCTTCTTTGGATTTTGCTAAGAATCTCGAAATATAGACCTGTAGCACCACACTAGATATGGCCGCAATATTCATTGTATGGAAGAATGGTAGATTTATAAATGTGAAAGAGGGATTCTGTTCCCAACTTGGTAATTATGCTGAGGGCATAACTATTTAACTTAATATTAAGTAAAACTGCAGCTGATCTGGAAAATCACTTTCAATCAGTTGTTGACCAGGGCAAGAAATGGCTTGTAAATTTTAATACCTCCAAAATAAAAACTCCTTTCTTTTAGTCATCAAAGAGAACCATTTTATCTTTCCATTGGTATGGCTGATGCTAACCTCCAGTAGAGCAACTCACTGCACTTTTCTTGGTCTGATGTTTTCTGCTTACATGAAAGGTTATATTGAATCAATTACTAGGTCAGCTGCTAGGAAAATTTGTTCACTGTGTTTTGCTACATAATCTTTCTTGTCAGAATCTATCTTACAGATTTCATTATTATTATTCATTATTACTATTATTTTTTATTATTATATTATTATTTATTACTACTATTCATCCATGCCTTGAATATTGCTATTACATCTGGATGATGCTTCTCCTATGCAATTATAGATTCTTGATAAAATCCGAAGAATAATCTGCAATGTTATGCACCCAGACCTGGCATCTCAGCTTCAATTGCTTTCCCACCACTGGAACATACCATCCCTGTGCCATTTCTATAGATATTTTCATGGAAAATGAGCCTTTTTCTTTGGTAACTCAGTTTACAAATTTAAGAACAGTGCTAGATTGGCAGTTAGGTCTCATCATATTGCAGTTAAAATTGCTAGTTGAAATTACTAAGGGGAAATTGGTGTTTGATTTCAGAGAAGGAGCATGCAAAATGGCTACCACATCCAAAGAAGGCAACAGGCACATAATTTAACCACTCCTGTTACAGAGAGGTAGTGAAGAGTGCTAGATTGGCAGCTAGGTCTCATCATATTACAGTTAAAATTGCTAGTTGAAATTACTTAGAGGAAATTGATGTTTGATTCCAGAGAGAGAGAGAGAGAGAGAGAGTATGCAAAATGGCTACCACATCCAAAGAAGGCAACAGGCATACAAATTAACCACTTGCAGCACTCTTCTTGTCTCTTATAACGGCATTCACCCGGGGTGGGTTGAGCCGGCTCCAATATTGGAGTTTCATGGGGATTTGGAATTCACAAGCAGTCCCCAACCTGCATGTATAGCACATGAGAATTGATTATAGTGGTGAAGGTTTCGTGCAGGACCATCCACACTTTTTGAAGGGCCGATTACAGAGACCTAGTACACAAGGTCCCCAAACGACCCATCTAAAACTTATAGAACCCAGTCTGTCCTGCTATTTACCCATAGCTGGAGGGAGAAGAAGAGGATTTATACCTTTCCCAAGGGTATTAGAACGTAAGTGAATGTAATGGATTTGACTGGAATTTGAACTCGGCTCTCTGATTCCTCAATCCAAGCCAATATCCATTACTCCACCGTGCCTCCTCTCGCAGCACTGAGAAGTAGTCTGTCAAGGACATCTTATGTAAAAAGGGAAGAGCCCCACAACAGTAATAATGCCACTAAGATGCAAGTGGTTACTGGAGTGAAAGAGAATGAGACTTTAAAAGGAATCAGAAAGCCAATCCTAAACATCCGAGAATCCTAGAATCTGTGTTCATTTTGAGATGTCTTTCTATAAATACAAAGAAATTTTCAGTAATTAAAGAAGTTGGCCAAATATTTTGTCCAGCAAGATTTGTTTCTACTTCCCAACCTGATTTTTTCATCTTCCTAATTTTTTTTTTTACCCTTTTACCTGAGGCTAAAACCAAGAGTAATCACTCAGAGCTTCTTAATATTTAAACAATCAATCTAAAAGACAACACCTGGGCAACAAGAAACACCTGTCAGTCATATGTGCCAATAGTTTTGCTTACTTGAAAATTGGGTGGGTCCAAACAAAAGATGGTATGTCCTAAGCTGTTTAACACATCTACATGTAATATGAGGTAATAAAAGCTGAAATTTTGAACTCTTGCCTCATATTCATCTTTTGATCTTAAACTCAAATGTCTTCAGTGAACAACAAAAATAAAGGAATTGGCCTTGCCATTCCAATACTTTTGGAGGGGACTGTACATGTGTATATATGTGGTATTACACAAGCACAGATTTGGCACTTAAACTCAAACCAGACTGTCAAGGAAGTGAGGCGCAGGGCCAACTTGAAATGACCCTCCAACTGATTAATCTGCTTTCTGTGGTGACATCAAGAGGTGAACAGTTGGGAGTGTAGTTGCACCTGATATTCTCCTATGTGCCCTGTACCTTCAGGACATTGGTGATCATGGCTCTCCGCAATTTCCTGTCTTTTGTAGTTCTTAATAAATTTTGTCTTTTTGTTATCTCTCCTAAACCCTGCTCAGCCATCCATTTACTCAAGTTCATTACACACTTTTTCCTCTGTTCCTCTTGCCTTCAATCTGTCATGTGAGTATCAACTTTTCCAAGTCCTCTTTTCTTATTAAGTGCCCTAGAAATTTTAACTGTCATGTCCTGATTTTAAGTATAAATGTTCTTTTTTGTTTTCATTTCTCTAAATCATTGTTGTGGTGATCATAGCACCTAAGGAAAAACAAGACTGAATGATGGCTCTCCACAACTTCTTCTCTTTGGCAGCTCTTAGCAAATATTAACATTAAATTTTATTCAACTCTTGATTTTGTCAGTTTCTGTATGCCAGTGTGTGTGTACATGTATTTGGGAGCACATGGGGTTGTGTGTGTGTAGCCTTGGGGGGGGGGGTCTTCTCCGAATGTTTACTTGACTTTACTTTATATATTTCCTTAATTCTTTCTTATTTCCTGTTCAATAATTTGTTTTGCATGGCGCCAAATCCATTCAGAAATATCTGAATTGTCTGCTGTATACAACTAATTTCTCAGATCAATGATTTAAGAATGGTTTTGAGCAAATGAAGTCTGTGGGTCTTTGTGAAGATCACACTTCTCCAAACCTTATAGACTAGCACTACAGAATCACAAAAAAAAAAACTATACCAAATAACAGAAACCACATCATTTGAAGATTTTCGAAAGCAACAACAGATAAAATGTAACTTGCAGAGAAAATAATGACATAATCAAGATGCTAATATTAACACTACTTCAAATAAAAGGTAAAAATGGAAACCCTCATTAATACTGGAAAGAGCAATAACATCTACTAGGATATGAGAAGCCTATTTTAAGAGAATGATTTTATAAATTTCAGCTGAAAGTAGTACTGGCTGCTTGGTCAATGCATGCCAAATGTTTCCTTATAAGGAAACAACTAATATTACCATTACCATTATAGATGCCGAGAACAGATACTACACTTTGATCTCAGCCTAATGTCCAGGGATTAAAGAAAAGTGTAACTGAAGTAGCCAAATGTTTCCTTATAAGGAAACTCTTGATATTACCATTATAGATGCCGAGAACAGATACTACACTTTGATCTCAGTCCATAAGAAAAAAAGAAAAGCATAGCTCAAGTAGGACTGGCTTCTCGATCAGCGAATGTCAAATGTTTCCTTATAAGGAAACGGCTAATATTACCATTTGATGACCATTAAAAACTTCAAATATTTCTATATTTGCCTTGGCCCTTTTTTCAGGAGTGTATAAATAGTTAGATTGGTCTGGTATAAGGCCACAATTATGGAGCAGTAACTGAGAACCAAACTAACTACACAATGAGGATCGCCTCGTAAAACAGCTTATTACCCATTAATTCAATTCATTAACAATTACCTTATAACAAAGTATTTATCTAGGCATTTATTAAGCTCAGCTTAATGTGACAAAAGCTAAAATGTATAATAAACTTAGTAAGTACCAAATACACTATAAATTCATAATGGTCTGCTAGACTATTTCATTAACCATCACCTTATAGCAAAGTACTTAATTTTAGGACTAATGATCAGAATAAAGCAAAAAAAAAATAGAAGTTTTTTTTTTAATCATTTTATCCCAAGCAAGGTCATAAAGCCACTAAGATGCAAGAGGCTACTGAGCATGAAAGAATATGAGAAAAAGAAAATCATTATTAAGGAGTGAGAACAATAAAAGAACAGGAATTACAAAGACAGAAGGTAGCGATTAACATTGCATTTGAAGATCAAATTTGACTAGAAAACAAGAGGCCAGAAGAGAGTTCAGCAAGCATGAAGGGTGAGA